TCCTAAAAAGCAAGCATCATTACCTCTGTTCTAGAGACGGGGAAATTGAAATGTGAGTAAGCAAAGTCGTCTGTCTAATGTCACCCGGCAGCGAGCAGAGCAGCCAGGAAGGAAATGCAGGTCTGCAGAGATGCATCTGGTAGCTCAGTCAACAGGGTGAGTTCAAACACCTCGCTTTATGCACTTTTGCACAGAAAACAAAGTTGTCCCGTTTGTTGCATGCAGATAACAAAACACTGAGCGTTCTTCAATCACATTCATTTTATGAATATGCTCATCTCAGATATCAAATGGAAAAATAAAGCAAATAGTAAAAACTATACAGGAAATGCCATCAAGTAAGCATAAGCTTCACTTTACATACATTTCAGTCATGGTATTGTTCATCACTCCTTTAAACAAACCAGTTAGCAACAGCCTTTTTAAAATGACTCTAATGTGAAATGCACACTTCCAAGTTTCCTGACTACAGCATCTGAGAGCACGAGGTGACTATGGTGCCCATTAAGGAACATACCAGTGAGGAAGAAAGAAAAAAATCCTGTCATACCGACCAGTGCATGTATAGAAACATTTTTTGCAAATATTTTATAATTTTATAAATACATAAATTTGATGGCATTTGAAAAACTCTTTCAGCTGTTGAATTCTAGCAAATGAAAACAAATATACTTTTTAATAAAATAGGAATTGCTTTGGAAGCACAATTCTGAATGAGCAATTTCTCTCCTTAAAATAAATCCTGTAACATTAACAGTAGAAATCTACAAATGAAAACATTTATATTACTCTCTGGAAAAGAAGTGGTAGGGAACACCCAGAAGCACGGTCACTTTACATACACAATGGCTTCATTTAAATGGCCTGAGTAATAACTTCTATTAGGCCATACCAGTTTACTATGCTGACAGCTATTGTCACTTACAAGAAAGCACAAGTGTTTAGAAAAGCACACTACCTCAAAAATGTGTTTTGTCGGCTGGTTTTTTTTTTTTTTTAATAGGGATTTTGAAAAGGCAAAGACGGCGTTTTTCATACGGAATGTAAAAAGTTTTATTTCATGGATGCTTTACTTCAACAGCTGACTGCATTGTAAGATAACATTTTTTCTTGTCACTTCCAGCAAAAAGCAAATGGTTAAAGGCTCTGCAATTAGCCCAAAAGCAAGCACTTGCGAGGCCACTTTACCTGCTGGAAAAAGTTCTAAAAGGATGCAAGCTCAGAGAAGGACAGCAGAATTGTGGAAGGGAAGGCAACATCAGCAATACAGGTTCTTACCCAAGCTCCTGCCCCCTCCTACATAAGAACCTGTACTGGAGATAAAAGAAGGTAAAAAGGTAAGCTGGCTTTATGTGAGCTCTCAGTCAGTTTTTGGCAAGCAGGAAATCCTGTTGGAGCCACACTAAACACAGCAAACTAAAAGGATGTTTGGTTACCACCAGATTTATGTTCTAGTATGCATTTGGTGACTACTGAGGGATAAGCGGTACGATTTTTGCCTGGAACAAATTTACGTGAAAACTTGCTTAGAAGCAAGAGATAGTTCCCACTGTTTGTGAAAAGCTGAAGTAACATACAACAATGGGAAAAAATGCTTTGCAGCAGTAGTGGGACAGATGTGGATATTCGCCAGCAAATGCATTTAAGAAACATATGAAGTCTTTTTTAAAAAATTAATTTTTATATGATTATATGTGTGTAAGTTTAATGTGCGTGCATATACACACACACACACAAAACTCATTGTGAAGTGCAATCAGACTGTTGACTAATTGGAGTTCACTCTGAAACAAGTGCATATGTCACATCTGTTTTATCACTTTCTTTGCAGCAGTTAGTGATTTTGCCCTTTTGTTTTTCCTATTTACCCAAAACCCACTTCTCACCATTAGTCAGCAGTTGGGAAAGTACAGATTTTTATGCCAGGAGAGCCCCACTGATTCACGAGGATGGAGCCACTTTCACTAAACGAATCCCAACCTCACAGTTAACCACTCGCAGCACAGTGGAGCACTTGGGGCCATCACGACAAAAGCACACAGGGCAGCATCAATAACCCATACGCCACTTTTATCACTGACTGATACTTCAGATTCGAAGACAGGAACAAGCGTAGTGGTAGCACTGTTCAACTGCTTTCAGTAGGTCTTCATGAGCATTATCTAAACATCTAAACCTCACACAGTCCACAATCAAAATGAAGCCACTTACCAGAGGCACTCAGCTTTTAGCATAGCCTTGCATTTTACAACTTCCATATCTTTCCATACAGAATTGTGATATGCACAAAACAGCCCAGATTAAGCATAAACAACCCTGAGGTCAGTATCTTTTAGTTTGAGGAAGTTTTCTCTTGATGTGAGATGAGCAAAATGGCATTACATTTCACTGTAGTTCCTCTTTCTTTGGGAACACGCCACTGAAGTAGCTTTTATTTGTAGGTATATGAAGAGTGACTTATTTGCCTTTAACTCACAAAGAAAAGGGTATTGCCATTTTTGCCAGTATGTGCCACTGAAAAGAAAGCAGTACCTTCAAAGTGGTACAACCTGATGTAGAATTTCCTCTGAAAAAGTACCTAAAGTTAGCTGTTTTACAAAGCTTAAATCCTAGTGGGATTTCCACCTTAACTCTGTAAGTTTTCTGTTAGGCACCAGGACTACCCTTACTGCTGTGGAAGTTACCATCTATAATGTGGGAGACAGTCTAACCAAAGCATCTGATCCACTGTTTAAAAATTAAATATCCATCATCACTGTTAATTTCATCTTCCCAAAAAGATGAAATAAAAACAAACAACACAACCCCCAAGCAACACAAAACACAACAAAGCCCCTCTATTTGAATCCCACCCCTTCTCAGTACTCCTACTGAAGCTCTGCCCCGCGCAGCTTACCTGTAGCACTACCAGTTACTTATTCACACAGCTCACCACTTCAAACAGGTTTACCAGCTTACATATCATCGTATCAAGTTTGTATTACCATAGCAATTCTTTCTAGACACTTTTGAGTTGCTGATTAAAGTTCAGCATTCCAGATGGATCCTTAGCCTTCAGCCATCTCGTGTGCTGCAGTCTCAAAAAGGACGCTATGTCCCCATTGTGCCTTCCTTTCCTTTGTTACCGCAGTGAGCAGAGCACGAACGTTTAAACCTACCAAAGGATTTCTCAGCATTTATGAAATAAATATTTCCTTTTTTAAGCGTGCCTTTCTTGCTTCTATTCAAACATGAAATTCAATGCTTTCCATTTATGGACTTTTTAGTTTGGTTAATTGTCCAACTAACAAATCCAGAGATGCATTCTTTTCCAGATAAACCGTAACTCACACAGATTTAGAAAAAAAAAAAAAAAAAAAAAAAAGACAGAATAAAACAGAAAACGAGCACTCTTTAGACAAGGAAGCGGAAGAGCCAGCAGGTTGGGCTGACATTTACAGATAAGAGCACAGTAGCGAAGCGCCTGAATTTTGCCTACGCCTGCAGTTGACAAGCAGAAAAGTAACAGTTGCACGGGGCACTGACGGCCCAACTCGGAGCTGGAAGCGACCGGCCGTCGGATCCGGGGGTCTCGTCCTGCAGCCACATGAACCCTCGCCGTGCCACCAGCGGCGCTTAGGGACCATTTTCTCCTCCTCCCAGCTCGGAGCTCAACGCCCGCACAAAGGAACCGCTCCTGGTTCTGCGGGGAGCGGCTCCGGGCTCCAACCTGCGCGGGAGCCCCCGGGACTCCCTCCCCCCTCCTCTCGGCCGTGCCCGGAACAGGCAGCGCGTTCCGCTGCTGGCGGCCGGGGGCGCTCGGCAGCCGCGGGGCCGCGGGGGGCGCGGCGCGGGCCGGGCCGGAGGGCCGCGGGGGAAGGAGCGAGGGAAGGAGGGAGGGAGCGAGCGAGCCGCCAGCAGACAAAAGCGGATCGCGGCCGGCGGCGGGGTGGGGCCGTGACCGGGCGGCGGCGCCTTTGCTCTCGGGGGAGCGCGGCGGGAAGAGGCCTGGGGTGGGCGCGGGCTTCCTCCGCCCCGCCGCCGCCTCCTCGGCCCGGCCCAGCGGGGTGGGAGCCCGGCGGCGCGCCGAGCGGCGGGCAGGGGGCGGCGGGGCGCGGCAGCCGCATCCTCCCCACCGGGGAGCGCGGCTCGGGCGGTGCCCGCCGCTTACCTGCAGCTCGGTGAAGAGGATCTCCCTCTCGGCCGCGTTGGACGCCATTGCGCTGGGGTTTGAAGTCCGCACCTGGACGCTGCCGCCGCCGCCGCCGCCGGGGAGGGGAGCGAGGGAGGCGGGTCCGGGGCCGGGACTAAGGGCGCATCGGGGGCGGGGGGAGCGCTCGGCGCTGAGGCAGGGGGACGCGGGAGGGGCCGCCGCCGCCCCCCTACCGCTCATGGGGGTCGCGCCGGGCGCTGGGCCGCGGTGCGGTGCGGTGCCGCCGTGCGCTCCCCCGCCCTGTCGTGGCGCTCGGCCCTGGCAGCGCTCGGCCGCCGCGGCTGCTGCTCCTGCGGCCGCCGCGGATGTCGCACCATTTGGCTGTCACCCTGTCGCAAAAGCGGCGCTGCTTTGCGGCACCCGGAGCACGTGACAGTTGGAGCAGGGGGGCGGGAAGGGAGCGTGGGGGCGGGAGGGTGCCGGCTGCCGCCCGGGAGCTTCTGCTCCCTCGCGGGCAGAGCGGCGCGCGGGCGGGCGGGTGCGAGGGGCGCGCGGGCGGGGCGGGCGCGTGCGGCGCGCTCCTCTCAGCAACGCTCCCCTCAGCAACGCTCCCCTCAAGTTCCCGGCTCCCTCCTGCGTTTCCTCCTCCTGTGAATCTCCGGTTCCCAGAGTCCCGTTGTTTCTCTCAGCGATGGCTCGGGGAGGGCGGTGCATGGCACAACCCTGGTGCTGAGGGTCTCTGGGGCTCGGTCCCACAGCTGCCGAGGGCAGCCGAAACCCCCCAGCCGTTCCGTGGCCGTCCCGAGCCCGGTTGCCTCGCGGCCGCAAGGCAAGCAACGCGCCGCCCTTGGAGCCGGAGCGGCGGGCCGGCAGGTTGCGGCGAGCGGGGGCGGCGAACGCGGTTCTCCGAAGCGTAAATGGGCTGAGCGACAGCGTGCGGGGGCCGGGTGAGTCCGGGGGCCGGCAGTGCCTGCTTAGTCCCCAGAGGCAGCTCTGAAAGCCTCGAGGGCAGAGCCCGTGAGGAAGCGGTGCCTCTTCCCTCAGCGGCACCCGCTGCGATTCTCGGTTTCCTGCCTGCGTGTTGTTCCACCTGTTCGTGAGCGCTTTTGCTGCCCGCTCTGTACGCACACGCGTGTTCCACCCTCATTTCAGACGTTGCACTGGGCTAATCGAGCTCATGCAAAACGCTGCGTGGAAGTAATTAAAACTGTTTTCGTCTGTGCCGTTCCTGCCAGGCTCGTACAAGTTGAGGTATTTTCTGTAGGTGCATCTTCATGCGAGCGCTCGTGCTTGCTGCGTTCATTTCAGTGCATCGCTGTGCGGCTGCGGGCCCAGCGTGGTCTGTTCAATGCAGAACTGCAGGTTCAATTCTGGAGGGAAAAGAGGAACAGGAGAGGTCAAAAAGAAGCATACATTTTACTATGACCAAATTCAAAACGTTTTGTGTTCTTTCGATTCCACTGAGCACCAGACAAACTCAGCAACCTGAAGTGCTGTCTATCACACAGTGCAGGAGAAGCCTATGATATCTCCATTAGTTAATTTTACATAAAAGCAAAATCAAGGTATTTCTACTCTGACACTGTGCATCTGTACGCAAGTGAGATATTTCTCCACTACATTGATATTATTCATAAGCTTGCACATGTACAAATTTGCATGCAGGCTTAGTTCAGTGGAATCAATGGCTTTAATTTCTGTTTTGTGTGGCCAGGCAATTGTAGGCTGGGATGAAAACTAGAAAGTAAAGAGGAAGAAAACCTGTCAGTTGTCTAACGGTCACAGTACTACGAAGAATATTGAAAACTTCATAAATCAGGGGAAACAGTTTTAATGCAAGGTCACACTGGTCTTCCTCACTGCTTGCTGTCACGTACATCAGGCGTCACAGGTGAAGATACACCATCCCAGGCTAAATTGGGAATTGTCTCAGGAACAGGGTTAGACTTGAATAAAACTGTTGAGGTATGTGCCTTCTGTGGTGAATGGAAATTCCCCACAAACAGTTTGGGTTCTTGAGTGATTTTTTTTTAACTTATGTTGCAGTTTTAATCTACAGAAGGAATTCTAACTTGGAAGGTCAGGATCAGAAATGTGACCAACATGTTGGCATCATATAAACATCTTTATATAATCAATGTATGAAAAATATGTACCTTACTCAAATCTTAAGTATAAAGAAGAATTTCAGAAGCTGTTCATAGAGCACAATTGTGAGAAAGGCTACGTGGGAAAGTCCTACTTATTCTGTCTTCACCACACATTCAAGCTCAATTTTTACCATAGCCAGAGTTCCAGTTACCCAGTGAAATCTGTGCTAGCATGGCTTTGCTGTAACTAATATGAAGTGGTCATAAATCAGCAGGCAGAAGTCAAAAAGTGAAGTTTTGGGTGCATTGTGAAGCAAGGTAGGGGAGCAAGGAAAGACAATTGTACAATAATTTAATCTTTTAGAGCATGCTGGTGTGATGCCAAGCTTTAAAGCTTGGACTTTTTTTTGAGAACAAGTGTTTAAAGATATATACAAGTAATCAGAAATTACTACGTTATTCTACTTTAATCACCACATATACTTGTCATCAAACGTGGTCCCTTACTGCTGCTATTGCAGAGGAAGTGGAGGAGTCTGTGTGTGTGTGCTTTCTAAGGCGTGGTCAGAAGGAAACACACAGAATACCCCCCCCACAAAAAAAACTTGCAGCTGTATGAGCTGATGTCAACAGTTGATAAACTCTGTGAGTGTCTGAAACAGACAGCTGATTTAGGTCATGCTCAATGTAAACTGCTCATTGAGTGAAGGCTAGACATGGTTATCCCTGTCAAGACAGAGCCTATAAGCTTTTTTTTGTATTCCCAGTATAATTTACACTGCTTGTAAGGACAATGTTTTGGTTTCTGTGATAGAAGTGTATTGGTACAAGAATTGAAAAAGTAACAAAACATTGCTATCTATATCTCTGATAATTAAATCGTTCTTCTTCCAGATTCCAGAAAATACAAGGCATTGCTGGACAGCTGTAGCTCTACATTTAAGCACTCTGACAGTGAATTACTGAGCAAGAGAGAACATTCCAAGTGAGTCTCAAAATAGAAAGCAGTTAAGTACGTAAGTCCATGAATTCAGCATTATGTGGAGTCCTGAGTTCAGCCTTTGCCTTAAGATGTCTGAATGCTTTTTCCTTCAGCACTTATTCTGTTGGATCATCCCTTCAATTATCATGCTGGAAAAGCAAAATGAACAAAAGGGATGACAGTAGTCCTGGCTAAGTTACACTTGATTATTTCTTCTTTTTCAGGTTGTTTTATTAAAACCTTTATCCCACAAAACTGGAAGAGTAAATTGCTGTGACTTCCAATGTTTTATGTGTTACAAAGTGTAATGCTATAATGGAATGGAAAGTACTGCAATAATAGCAGGGTGGCAAAGTCTTTGGCTGTAACAAATGAGAACAAGCCTAAATACAGAAGCCACAGATGCAGAAGTGAAGGAAAAGAGCTGCTTACCTTTGGAGGGCCTTAGGTAGACAAGGATCTCCAGCAAGAGATGCTGTCACCTCCACTGCCCACCCTTAAATGAGGTCTGGGAAGGACTGGATTCTGGCTCCAATCCTTCTGGTCTCTCAGGGGCATTGCATACAGTGAACTCCCCTGGTTGGCCCTGTCTTCCACCAGGTGCTCAATCACTGGTTCAGGCTGTGACTTAGTATTTCCACTACACAAGTGTACCTTATGAGTCCTTGGGCACATTACAGAACTCATTAGCAAAGTATCAAGGATACTGTAAGCAAAATACAAGATATTTTTTAGATAAAGTCTAACTAGCTCTCTATGTTGTAAAAGGGAGAGCCTGATTTCACCGAGTGATGCATGTAGAAATTAGGATGGAGGATATCTGAAGAAGAGTAGCCGTGTGTGATCGTTATATTATACTTACTGATATCAAGATGCTACCAGGAAATAAAAGTTCTTCTTGAAGCTTCTGATTAGTCTTGCCTGTTTAAATTAGTGATGTATTCTAGAGGGAAAACAGTGTATAAACGTGAATAAGCGTGATTGGCGTGGATGACATCAAAGAAGAAATGAGATCTGTCTGTTAGGTGAGTGAGGGTACAGCAGTTTCAGCCTAGCACCAAAGTTTTTAAGCACAAAGTAAGAGCTAGAAATTAATGAACTTTTTTTTTTTTTTTTTTTTTTTTTGATAGGGGAAGAATTAATTAGGTTTGCAAGCAATATTGATACCTGTTAAAGAAAATTATTTTCCATCCCTTCTCTTCCCACTCTTCACCTGCGAAGTGGGAATACTAAAATTCACAGTACAAGTCTAATTTATGCAAGCATTTTCTCTAAATTCTTTCACTTAGGAATGAAGGTAATTGTATAAAAGAAATGGGCTACCTGGTGTTAGCTTTCAGGGTTGTTTTTTTTTTTTCCTTCTTCAGTTGTCTTTTCAGTAGTGCTGACATTTGCTCTTCCTGACTTGTAAACGTAGAAACATTACTCTTGTATTTTAACAGTTGTTATTCTAAGTTGGAATTGGATCCTCTGAAAACCCTGTGAAATCCAGGAGATATCAGACATGGGAAAAATGAGATGAACATATGTACACAGCTTTTTATTACTTCTACTTTTTACTTTTCTTTATTTTGATTTACTTTACTTATTTTGCTTCTCAGATAATTATGATGATAGGAGAATGCTTTTCTTCAGTAATAATTCTTGAAATAAATTGAGAAGGAAATGTGTTGAGGTTGCATTTAAAAAAAGAGCTTAATATCATAATCTTCTTTAGACCAGGCCTTGCTAATATTTACTAAAGTAAATGCTGAATCAGGGGAAAAATATCAAAGGTGTGGGTAATTTTAGTGTGTTTAGCTTGAGAATGTTGTTTCTTTTATTGAAAACTCGTTTCTTCCACAGTACTTCGTGAAAGTTAATCTGAATGGGTAATTTCTCAAAGGGAATTCTATATAAAAAAAAAATCTAATACAACAAAAGAAACAAAAAGGAACACACACATAAACAGACAAAACTCAACCTCCTGAGAGAGAGCATGAGAACTCTGAGGCTGTTGCTCATATGCCTCTGGCAGTGAAGAGGACATTTCCAAAGATAAAACTAAAGTGACTTAGTAAGTTTATTTAGCTCTTCTGGTGCCTGCTTGCAAATTTTGTGTATTCCTAAACTATTCATTTAGTACTCTTTTAATTACATAGCTAACGTTAACATTTTTGACTGAGTTACTATGACATAATCATAGATCTGCTACCAATTGTGGTGCACTTTGTAGTTAAAAATTGCCTTCTGGATTTACATACTTATTACCCAGGGGTAGATGTTATTAGCATAGATAATATTAGCATATTATCACCAGCAATGTAGACAGATGCCTTGAGGAGTGGAGTGCAACAAACATTACCTATTTTATTGATTTTGGACCCTGGGATGACTTGCAGTGAGTGAGAAAAAAGTGCTGGAAGGGAAGGAGAATAATTCCCGTTCTTATCTACTCTCATGAGGAGAAACTCTGACTTGTGAATGACAGTTAATGTTTGTGGAAAGAATGTGTCCTACCTGTGCAGAATCACTTGGAAGATCAGACCTTATTTCTTTAAAGGAGATCAACTCGGATTATTTGAAGTAATAACAAAATGCTGTATGCCTTTACATTAAGGCTATGATCCTACAAGTAGATCAACATGATGGATCTTTACACCTATGCTAAGTCCCAGTGATTCTAATTAAACTTGATGATAAGATCAAGCTTAACATACTCAATGCTGTTTCTGCAGTGAGCACAGATGGGCTTCTGTGTTTCTATTGAATACACTGAAGTGAATTGGGCTTGGTGCAGCATTTGTAACATTAAGGCCTTATTTTCTATGAATGCTAGTGATCACTCTATGAATGATAAGAAATCAGTACAAGCAAGGTGACTACTACCTGTGCATGGTTCCTAACCTTATTTGCTTTCTTTCTGTAAGTAGTAAGCATGTTAATATAACCCCATGTATCTGATCTAAAATATCCTAATTCATCAGAAAAGTAAGGCAAGATTCCATGAAGATGCATTCAAGTGCGACTCACGTTATGCTGTGATGAAGAAGACTGACTTTCTGAAAACACGTTGTTGATTATGGCCCACAGTTTTAATGGAGTAACATTAGAATACTGAGGCTTTGGTGGAGATTGAAGCATTTTCATGTGTGGCTTTTGAGTGTGCAACTTTCCGTGATTCTGTGCAGATCTAATTCCTGCAGAGTGCTTTGTAAATACAAAAATAAAACAACAGTCAAGCACAAGATCAGTAGTAAATTTAAACAAACACAAAATTTAAAGAAACACCACAGAGTCTGAGAATTACAGCATGTCTGAAGTCGAAGTCTGTGTTTGGAGGAAAGGGAAATGTATTGCAAGGAATGAGTCAGACATGGGAATCCCCAGAAAGGGGATACCCCACTGAGTAGAGTATCTGTGCTTGAAAAGGTGCCGCAAGGATATCTCTGCATGCTTTTGAGGTGAGATTTGACCTGTCTTTGAAAGATCTGTTATTGCCAGATAGTAGCCTCCGCAGATTTGCTAGCAGCTCCCATCACAGTACTCAAAAGGCAGAAGATTGCGTCCGTTCTCCACTGCATGATGGCACTGACAGACTGGTCTCATCATATATTATGGAAGATGATGTGTGGACTCGAATTTTTGATTATCCTCAGCCAAATTTAGTTTGTTGTTCTGAAATCTACAGCAAAAACTGACAGAGGCAGGAACTGAGAAGAGGTACTGCTTTGGTGCTGTGCCTGGTGATGTAGTGTCCATACATCAAAGCTTTCTATAGCTCTAATATGTTTGCAGACACAATAAACTGCTATGCCAAATGATCCTGAAACAAACTTCATCAGACACTCAGGCTTAGATGAAAATATTTTTGGTCATGATTAGCTTGATGGCTGTTTTTTCTCTGTCTTTATCTCTCCTCAGAGAAAATAATCTGCATGTATAACTCTGTCAGGGATTGAAGTCCTAAGTAGTTATTAACTTGTACTTAGTATGCAATGAGTCTGAATTAAAAGGGTAGATCTATCTTCATTTAATGAACACCTAGAAAAAAGACTGACCAGGCAGGTTTATAGCTGGCTGTAATTGTATTTTCCATGCTCATCAAATAAAAGGTGCCTTTCATTCTTCTATGTCCATAGTACTTGCTTTAATAGAACTGACATCCCCAAGAGAGAGCTTAAAAGTTTTCAGGAAAAAGGACAAATGTGTCAAGCAGTACTAAGGGAAAGATGCATTTGAAAAAAACTTTTGTGCTCATACCACACATGTTACTGATTCCCTCTCAGCTCTGCTTCCTCTTCTCCGTTCTCCCCCTGCCTCCCCCCAGTCTTTTATTCTCATGCTATTGCAAACAAATGCCCTCTCTTGCAATATCATGTGGTGTCAGATTGATTCACATTCTTGTACTTTTGAGCTCAGTGGTTCAGACAAGTTGTTACAGTGTGTTCTATACAGACCCTTAATAAGTTGATTAAGCATCAGTAGGAAGAAAAAGCATTATTATCATTTTAAATGTTGATTTCCTTTTTGAGTAAAATAGCAATCTTAGAAGTTGGACAGGGGAATTAGTTGCACGTTCTGTTTGGAATACCTTTTTAACACATCTTCAGTGTTCAAAGATTTTCTGTTGTGTGGAGAAGTTTGTAGGTACATGATTCCTGAAAATGTCCCAAATGTTGGGTTAGGCTTAGGTGAGATTCTTATGCTGCAGACTAGTTGCAAAGTTAATTGTTGAGTTGTTCCTGACTGAGAAGTTAAATGGTTAGGTGTCTGAAAGAGAAACAACAGTTGAGTTCCATAATTTAATTAGGTACATAGATGCTAGTGATTTTTAATAGCATAATTCTTATAAACACTTAATGTTGCAATTTAGCCTGTTTATACATTACAGAAAAATAAAACCAAACAAACACAAACAACTAGATATCTAAAGGACTAAAGTGAACTCATTTGCTATAAGTGGCTTCAAGGTATCTTGAAATATATACACTAAAATCCTGCACAGTCAGTATGGCCTCTGA